ACAGTGGGCCCTTGGCATCTGATGGGTTTTGGTTCCTGGAGCCCCTGTGGACACCAAAATCTGTTGGATGCTCAAGTCCCTGTAAATGAATAAATAAACAAACAAATAATAATTCTGTCTACTTCCTCAGATGCATTCAAGGGAGTAGACTGAAGTCTAGGAAAGCTCATGCTGCCAATTTCTTTCTTTCAGTTCGTCTCAAAGGTGCTACAAGATCTATGTACTGATTCTTCAGACTAACATGCCTATAGCTTTGAATTCTATTATTATTATTATTATTATTATTATTATTATTATTATTATTATTATTATTATCATCCCACCTTCCTCCCAGTATAGGGAGTCAAGGCAGTAAATACAATGGCACAGTGAAACGGTGTTGTTTGTCGTTGCTGCGTGCCTTCCAATCCTTTCTGTTTCATGGCAACCCTATCGTGGGGTTTTTCTTGACAAGTTCTGTCAGAGAGGGTTTGCCATTGCCATCCTCTGAAGCTGAGACAGTGTGACTCACCCAAGGTCACCCAGTGGGTTTACATGGCTGAAGTGGGATTTGAATCCTGGTCTCCTGCGTCATAGTCCCACACTCAAACCACTACACCATGCTATCCACATACGACTGCCATCTCAAATCAACCCAGGGTGATCAAATATCATAATCACAAAGGAGGACAAGGCATTGCAAAATGTAGGATATTCCAGAAAAATGTTGGTCATTACAAAATAAAAGCTAAGAACACTAATATAAATGTACGTAAATTCATGCATCTTAGTGATGCTCAAAATGGAGGGCATTTTGAAATTCCTCCCGGATAGAGGATTGAAATGGAGGACATGTCCTGGAAAAAGAGGATGCCAGGTCACCCAGAATTGAACCCCCCAGCCAAAAAAATAGAATAAAAATAAAAATTAAAAAAAATTCATTTTGTGTTACTCACAGCTTTCCCAGGTCTGCAACAGCTGCATCCTAATAGCCAAGTTGTTCTGCATCAAGATGCAAGATTTGCACTAGGACCTGAATCTTATTCCCAATCTCACCTAGCGCCGACACACTGGATCACTTTAAATCTACTTTCTGCATGGGATTCATCCTGTGTGATAAACTCCATACTGTTTTCTTGGCAAGATTTGTTCAGAGGTGGTTTGCCATTGCCTTCCCCTGAGGCTGAGAGAGTGTGACTTGCCCAAGGTCACCTAATGGGTTTCATGTCCAAGCAGGGAATCAAACCCTGATCTCCAGAGTCCTAGTCCAACACTCAAACCCCTACACTATGCTGTCTCTTAGCACCTGGAAAATCCATGGTTTGTCTGTTTATTGTTGCAATACCTTGTTGGCACATAGAAGTCAATGTGAAGAGGGAAAGATCTAACCAGCTGGGAGAGAAAGGGGAGCGGTGTGCCATTCATTTCCGAGAGTTTAGGTAACACTGATTTGCAACCTAATCTCACATGCACACACTTACTGGACAATAATCCACACTTCCAACCAAGGCAAAGTTCACAGGATGGATTTCCTTCCCAACCTCAGATCACCCTGAAACAAAATTTCTAGTGAGCTTTTCAATCTGTAAGTCTGTGGCAGGTTAAGCTCTCTATTTAGGTCACTAAAATTCCATATATATATATATATATATATATATATATAGTGTGTGTGTGTTTTATGAAATAAGTATAAAAACATTCACATCTATACGTATGACTTGATAAGAGCTCTTCTCTCCCCAATTCTCCATATCTTCCAATATTTCGCAAACGAAAACTAGACACGCATCAGTGTGCGATCCAGATGGCAAAAGTTATAAATGGAGGAGAAAACAGGCTAAGGAGTTTTATCACACGGAGGCAAATTGCTTAAATCCCGTGCAGAAACAGGATTTAAAAATCCCAGGGGGAAAAACCCGGCAAAAGTGGGTTGTTTTTCAGATGTGTTTGTGTAAAGGAGAAATAACGCGGCATTAACCCAAACCGAAAGTTGCCAAAACCCACTCCTTTTAACTTTCGGAAGTTCAGAAACGGGATGTAAAAATCCGAAAAAAACCTGCTAAAACAGGTCATTTTTTAGATGTATTTGTATAAAGGAGAAATAAATGCACATTAATCCGAACGCAAAGTCACCAAAACTTGCTCCTTTTTTACATTCAGAAGTTCCCAAAAGTAAAAAGGAGTGGGTTTTGGTGACTTTCTGTTCAGATTAATGACGCATTATTTCTCCTTTATGCCAATGTCGTGTGAAAAACAATCCGCTGTTGCGGGTTATTTCTGCTATCTGTTTGGGTTCACTCCAAACGTCGTGTGAAAAACATGACATTTTTGCAGGTTGTTTTCACTTTAAATCCAGTTTCTGCATGGGATCCATCTAGTGTGATAAACTCCTAGGAAATGCAGCAGTTTGGTTTTGCCTTAGCCTACTGGGAAGGAAAAGATTCAGCACTTCCTCCTAACTCCCAGTGAGTTAGGATTGCAAACCTTTGCACTCTGGGCCCTGTTTGCAGCAATTCAAGTTATGAGGATGAAAGGGGAAAGCGGGAGGAAGAAAGAAAAACCAGGACACTTTAAAAGCATCTGAGAGAGTGGGATGGCAGAAAATTCAGCAGGACTTTCCTTGTCAAATTGGGACATTTGGAAGATATGTACCCCCACAGCTTTACAGCACAGGTAGCAAAGTCTTCCTTTGACAACTAAAATCATGGCTACTTCTTTCATTCCTACATTTTAATAAAAGTGCTAGAAATAAGATTAGATATAGACTCATGCAAAAGTCAGTTTCCAGCAAAGGGGTTACTGGTTGGCTTTGGGAAAAGTGAAGATATTCCTTGACCCATCTGTGAAATAGGAACATGAAGAAGTACATCACAGAAAAGTCACAGCCCAAAGAAATGCTATACAGATTGAATATCCCTTATCTGGAATTGCAAAATCCAAAATATTCCAAAATTATCCATATGGGTGGCTCAGACTGTTTTGCTTTCTGATGGTTCGGCGCACACAAACGTTTGTTTCATGCACAATTTAAAAAAATATTATGCATAAAATTTCCTTCAGACTATGTGTATAAGGTGCATACGACACATAAATGAATTTCATGCTTAGACTTGGGTCCCATGTCCAAAATACCTCATTATGTATATTCAAATATTCCAAAAGGTGGGGGGAAAATCAAACTTTCTAGCACTGCAGTAACTTCAAACTTCAGTTGAGCACTTAGAAATAAAGAGTTAGCCATATAAAGACAAAGCGAAGGAAAACACAGCAAACGGAAGAGCTCTAAGTGTGAACAATTTTCAACGTTTTGCTCTCTGCAATGCTACAAATCTAAAGACTCATGGAAAATTTCATTGGAGGGGCAAATTTTTTATTTGGTCAGGGAGCCCTCATTTTGCCCCCAGCTGTGGCATAATGGTTTGAGTGTTGAACTACAACTATGGAGACCAGGGTTCGAATCCCGGCTCAGCTATGTAAACCCACATTTGGTGACCTTGGCCAAATCACACTCTCTCAGCTTCAGAGGATGCCAACGATAAACCCCCTTTGAAGAAACATGCCAGGAAAACATGCCTTAGGGTCGCCATCAGTTGAAGCAACTGGAAGGCACAGCAACAAATGATAAATTACAAGCTTCATAGTCAAAAAGAAGAAGGAGCAACCTCACAAATCCCAGGCCTCGGAAGCACCAAAATGTACGGCACAGTTGAGGCAAGCTTGCAAAGATGCAAAAAGGCCATTATTCCTCTTAATTTTATAGCTAGCTAACCCATATGGCAACAGAAATTGTGTGTGGCACAGACGCACACAAAAAGGAAAAAAAGAAAGGATTAAAGCAGGGGTAGGCAACCTTTTTGAGCCGGGGGCCGGGTTGCTGTCCCTCAGACAATTGGGGGGCCGAAGCACCAAAAATAAATAAATAAATAAAAATAAAATAAAAAATTTTAAAAAAATATGCATGCACACTCTCTCAGCCCCAGAAAAGCCATGGCAAACCCCCTCTGGAGATTTTGCCAAGAAAACCCCAAGAACAAGTAATAACAACAATAATCAATATCATCATGGTGGGCAGCGGCAGTGGCGGCGGCAAGACCAGTCTGGGGCCGGTCCAAAGGCCTCGGGGGGCCGCATCCGGCCCCTGGGCCTTAGGTTGCCTACCCCTGGGTTAAAGGGTTTTTCTCTTGGCAAACCAGCCTTTCCCTGCCTTGTGTCCAGTTCCCACTGGTCCCAGGCCAGTGACCATTTCCCAGCTGAGCTCAGGAGCCCTCCAAGGAAGAGACTCACCCCATTGCAAGAACTCCCGGATGTATTTCTCCTGGGCCAGAGGCGAGGTGCTCAACTCATGATGGACGCACAGCAGCAGATCCACCAAGGTCTCCAAGCCCACCACTCCCCGGTCCAAAACCATCTCCTCCAGCTTCTTCAGTCGCACCTCAGCAGCCATGATGGGACCCACACGGCAGACACAGGGGTCAGTCACCCCAGAGGATGCTCTTCCACCTCCAGCCGCATCCACCAAAGGCCAAAGGCTGGCTGCGGCTGTCGGGGCCTGAGTCCCCTAAGCCAAGAGGGCAACCCTCGGTTCCACGGCCGGCACCGTCACCATCGCCTTCCTGGGCACTCAACCCAACTTTGTGAGATCCGCTCCAGAGTGGCACCAAGGATGCAGAGAGACCTTCTCTTCTGGCAGACGGAGGGATGGGTAACTTGTGAACACGCACCACCACCAAACGTGGGCAACGGTCTGAAAATGGTGTGGTGTGGGTTGCTTGCAAGTCACAGAAGACTCTTGATGAACGCTTGTCCTAGCAAACCTTTGCTCTTTGCTCTTTCTCAAACACAGATCCCCCTTAGTCTCTCTCTTTCGCACACATTCTCACAAACGGACACATACACAATCTAGCTCCTCTCCTCCAGACCCAAAACTTCCTTCTCCTCTCTTTCACAACTCTCCGGCTGGAAAAAGCAATTTCCCTCTCCAGCACCCCTTGCGCTGGGTGTGTGCCGCCTGCCCTCTTTGCCACACACAGTCCAATTTATGCACAACACAGACACTACATAGACACACACACACACATGCCTTTCCTCTTTTCCTTGTCACAAGGGCCTCCCTCCCCCTTTTGCACAGCAACAACAGGGCCCTTCACCTTGACACACACACACACACACACC